TGAAAGGTTAAAGGAAGTAGAGATGTACCATCAGTACACATCTGTAAATTATAGGAATATAAAACTTAAGGTAAGGGGACCAACCATCCCAGACAAATACGTGTTGGTCTCTAAAGTTTCAGTAATAATCAAAACCAAGTAGAGTTCTTTGAGATAACTTGACAAAGGCGAATTATGAAAAAGTTTTTGCTGAAGGAGTAAATGTAGAATAAGTCTTTCTCTTAGGATCCTTCACTATATCATTTAAATCAATCAATAAATTGCCAATATTAATTAAGTCACCGAGATGCACTTTTGGCTTTCAAAAGGCCAATCACCTCAACATATCCTGACTTCTGGAGCTTGGAGGATCTTAAAGATAACCCAGTCTGATCACCCATGTCACAAATGAAGCTACCCAGGTCCCAAAGAGCATGTTCTTGACTATGGGCCCACTGTGAGAAAGGCTTCTTCCCTGCTCCACCCAGAAGGAATCCTATAGGGGCCCAGGAGAATCCTGTAGCTGGTGAAGCCCTGGTTGCTCAACAGTGTCCATGCCCCAAGCCCTGGAACCTCTGAATAGTTATTGGCAAAAGGGACTTTGTGGTTGAGGTTAAGGTCCTTGAGATGTAGAGATTATCCTGGAATCTGGTGACCAATGGAATCAAATGAGTCCCTGTGAGTGGGCGAGAAGTCAGAAGAATAAACCGGTGCCATTTAGATGGAAGAGAGGTCCACTCTTGCTGACTCTGAAGACAGAAGAAAGGAAGCAAAGTTAGGAAGTGCAGATAGCTCCCAGTAGCTATGCATGGCCCTCAGGTGACAGCCAGCAAGGAAACAGGGATCTCAGCCCTACAGCTGCAAGGGCCTTTATTCTGCCATTCAATGCAATGAACAAGAGAATGGGGGCTTCCCTAGAGATGCCAGGAAGGAGCCCGACCCTGCCCACACCTTGATTTTTAGCATTGTGAGACCCATGTTAGGCTTCTGGGTGGCAGAACTGTAAGATAATTGACCTGTGTTGTTTTAGCCTGGTTGTTTGTTACAGCAGCAATTGAAAACCAGTACAATATGGTAGTGACAGACTTCTCTTTTTTTCAGAATATTCTGTTGTATTGAACTGATGTCATAGAAAAAAATTCTAGAACAGTCAGTCATAAAGAAGGACCAGTGGTTCAAATGCTCTTGGGTGTATTATTAAGAAAGTGCTATCTGAAAATTCCAGGGAACCCAGTGTAGGTAGAGCGAATTCCCTGCAATCAACATTAAAGTTGCTGCAGTGGCTACTCTTTCCCTCCTGCTCGGGGCACCGAGGGCCTTTGGAAACACTGGTGGACTGGTAAATGAGTATATAGTGGGCAGGAGCTGGGACAGGTAAGATGATTCCCATCTAGAGGAGACACTTGTCAGAAAATTCACTTTTTTTACTCATCCGATGATGATTTCGTTTGAAAGAGTCATTTGTGGATTCATTCATTCAACGAAAAGTCACTGAGCGCTAGGCCATAAGTTCTGGGTATAAAACAGAAAACAAAACAGACCTGGTTGTTGCACTCTGGTATGGAAGACAGGCAACAGGCAAGTGAACAAGGTCATTACTGATAACATCACAGAGAAAATTGAAACCTTCTTCTGTGATGGTGCAGGGGTCTAGAAATTCTCTTGGTAGTGGTGAACCATTTAAGTTGAGAGCAGGCGAAGAAAAAAATCAAGCCTTGTAGTGGTTGGAGGAATCATGTTCTAGGCAGGAGGAACAGCTGGTGCAAAGTACCTGTGGTGGAAGGAGATTGGCCTGTTCAAGGACAGGAAGTGGAGTGAAGGCAAACAAAGGGGAGTAGTGTGGAGTCAGGCTGGAGAGCTGCTTGGGGGTTAGATCAAGAAGGGGCTTGTCAGCCAGGTGGAAGAGTTTTTTGATCCTGTTTAAAATACAGGGGAATCCATTGGAATTAAGTAATATGATTGGATATGTGTACCCTACTCTCCATCCCTGGTACTGGGGGTTTGAATCCCGGGACATTCTACCACTGATTTAATTTTATTTTGAGACAGGGTGCTGTTAAGTTTCTGAGGCTGGCCTTACCTTGCCATCCTCCTGCCTCAACCTCCTAAATAGCTGGGATTACATGTGCCACCATGCTGGGCTCTGGGTACATGTTTTTAAGAAGGCCTTTGAGCTGCTACCTGGAGACTGGGTTTAGGGGAAGAAGGAAGAACGTGGTGGAGGAGTATAGTTTGGAAACCTCCAGTTAGTCAGAGATGGTGGTGGTTCGGACCAGGATGGTGGCAGAAGGGATAGTGAAAAGTGGATAGGTTTTGGAAGAACACCACAAGACTCTCTTTTGGATTGACTGCTGAGGAAGAGGAAAGAGAGAGGACTCAGCATGCCTTTTATGAGTTGAGATGGGGCCTGCCTTGTGGGAGACAGACAATATTGGCAGAAAATATTGTTTGCTCTGTTGGGAAATGCAAACAGCCTTTTCCCACATGCATCGAAATTCAGTTCACTAACAACATGGGGTGCAAACAGGGCTCAGAAAAAGCTAATGTCCACAGGATATCTAGTGCTCTGTGTATTTAACTCATTTGCTCTTCAAGACAATTAGGAAAGCACTATTTTAAACTGTCATGCATGAGAAAGTTAAGAGACAGAGAGGTTGAGGAACTTGTCTGAGATCACTGCTGGGATCAGCTGACATCCCCACTGCTGAGAGGAAAAGCTGGGATTTGGCCCCAGGCAATCTGAGTGCCAAGTCTGGGCTCACAGATGCCAGACCCTCCTCCAGAGAGCAGCTGGTGTGGTGACCACGCCTGCACCCAGCTACGCAGCTTGAAGCAAATAGTTGCAAGCACAGCTTTTATTGCTTATGAATGTACTCATTTCTAACTTTTACCCATATTGGAGATTTCCCTGTTCTCAATAGGAAGCAATTTTAGCCTTCAGAGGACATTGTGTTTGTCACATTGAGGGAAGGGAGCTACTGGCATCTGGAAGCCAGGTGTGCTCCTAAAGAACTCCAACGCATAGGTCAATCCCAAGAACAAGGAATTTTCCAGTTCAAGTGCCAAGGCTGAGGACCCCTGTGTGGGTGAATGCAACCCAAAGGCATGCACTCGTATTTTTGGATAGTGACAAACAGGACGTGCAACTGATTGTCCAATTTATAGATATTGAAAAAGTGTTAGGGGCCGAGGGGGAGTTTCCAATTGCTTCTTTTTCTTTTTCATTTTGGATACCAGGGATTGAACTCAGGGGTGCTCCACCACTGAGCCACATTCCCAGCCTTATTTTGTATTTTATTTAGAGATAGGGTCTCACTGAGTTGCTTAGCGCCTCATTGTTGCTGAGGCTGGCTTTGAACTCGCTATCCTCCTGCCTCAGCCTCCTGAGCCGCTGGTATTATAGATGTGCCACTATGCTCAGCCTTCCAATTACATCTTGTGTGAGGAAAGGGACACAACACAAAACAGGTCAATCATCTGCTAGATGTCATAGAATGGACTGAAGAAAATAGGGGCTCAGAGGAGAAAGGGAACTTTCACAAAAGATCCATCAGCCTTCAAGGAGTAGGCATGTGGGGTGGGAACCAGAACAGGAGCAACATTTGGGTAGGGAAAGGCAGAGTAAGGTAGGGCTGTGTGGATAGGGAAGAACCAAGCATGAGGGCACCAGGTAAGACCTGGCAGGTGCAGGGCCAATGGGGAGTGGTGCCGAGAGGTGCAAAGAGGGAGCATAGTGAGAATTCTGGGTTGTCTGAATTGGTTCCTCCTGATAGAGGGTGGGCAGGGAAAAGCCTGGTGGTAGAGGGTTTGGAAAACCAAGTGTGATAAGGAAGAGGGAACTAGCAACGTTCCCTAAGTGATGTGTTTTGAGAACATCCCTCAGTTGTGGTAGAAAACACCAGCAGCATGAGTTGACCCCAAGGCATGGAGACCAGAAGGCTGCCTGCAACTCAGTGTGCAGTGATAAGATGATAGGATTAGGTGGTGGCAACAGAAATGGAGAACGCTAAACTCAGAGTCAGTTCTCACCAGGCACTGTGGTGCACGTCTGTAATCCCAGCAGATTGGGAGACGGAGGCAGGAGGATCATGAGTTCAAAGCCAGCCTCAGCAAAAGTAAGGTGCTAAGCAACTCAGTGAGACTCTATCTCTCTATAAAATATAAAATAGGGCTGGGGATGTGGCTCAGTGGTCAAATGCCCCTGAGTTCAATCCTCATACCCGTCTCCAGAAAGAGTCAATTCTCCAAGGCACTCCACAAATGACCTCATTCTGGAGATGAGGAAGCAAAGACCTAAGAAGTCAGTGAGTCATCTAGAGTTTCCCAGCTAATAAGGGATGGGTCTGGGCTGCATCTTGATGGGTCTCCTTCTGTAGACAGTCAGGAAAGAGCTCAGGAAAGAGCTCAGTGGAGTCTGGTTTGGAAAAAAAAAAAAATCTGGGGAAACGACTGTGCAGAGAGTAAGACCACAACTTGGGGACATATTTAGAGCTAAAAGGCATCCGCGAAACAAATTCAACATGGCAGAAGTGTTTGAGTGCCAATGGTGGAATCATGATATATGGTCTTCTTTTCTCTTTTTCTGTTTGCCAAACTGTGTTTGATGACTTTTACCATAAAGGGGAAGAAAGAAGCCACTGTATCTGATGTCGGAGTGAAGGGAGTGAGACACAGCCCAAGAAGAAGTCAGTGGGTTTGTTTGAGGGAACGAATCAGGGAGGAGGGGAGACTTCAAGGGTGCAGTTTCTTTAGAAAATAGGGGGTCAAATAAGGAGAAGAGGCAGAGCCTCAAGTGCCCCAGGCTTGTAGTGACACGAGGCAGAGAATCAGGATAGAAGAAGGGAAGGTCAGGAGAGTTTTTTTTTTTTTTTTAACACACCGAATTGTACACTCCTTTCTCGGCCCAGTGCCCTTCTTCTCCTTGGAGGAACAGTGTCCTAGTGATCTTGGTAGGAAATTACCTGAGACTCCATCCACTTTCTTGGCTTCTGTTGTGCTGGGCTACCGGGAGCCAGGAGAAGATGAAGGCATCCGTGATGCTCTTCCTCCTTGGCTACCTCATGGTTCCAAGTGGTGCTCGCGTCTTGGGGCGTTGCACTGTGGCTGAGATGCTCTACAGAGGAGGCCTGGATTATTTTGAAGGTTACAAACTTGAAAACTGTGAGTAGGATCCCCGATCCCCCTCTGTCCTCCTTTCCCTCCATTCCCTGCCCAGGTATCCCCAGCTCCTCAGACCACACATTCTATTCCATCTTAGGGGTTTGCCTGGCTTATTATGAGAGCAAGTTCAACCCCTCGGCTGTGTATGAGAATGAGATTACAGGCCACACTGGCTTTGGCCTCTTTCAGATCCGCGAGGACCTGTGGTGTGACCATGGCAAGAATCTCTGTGGTGTGTCCTGTTCTGGTAGGTCACTTCTTTTCAGTCCATGCTGGCGCTCTGGGGGCTGCGGGGTCACACTTGGAGGTTGGCCTTCTTGATGACCAGAGTTCACATGCTGGGAGGAGGCAGAAGGAGGGTTCTGGGTTAGGCCATATCCACCACGGGGAGGCTGGGCATTGCCTTGCCAGGGTGGATGGTGAGAAAGGACCAGGTGAGTCAGGCAGCTAGCTGGGATGGAAAGATGGAGACCCACATCCTATGGGAAGAGAAACTGCTGCGTAGAGGAGTGCGGAGGTATTGGAGCCCACCCAAGACTGAAGGGAGGGAGCAGAGGGTTCCCTGTGGGCCTGATGTCACCCACACTTGACCATTATTCTGTTCTTAGGGGAGACGGATGCTGCCTAAAGCATAGGTTTAGTGGTCACTGTGTATCCAGGTAAGGACATACATTGGAGACCTCCACACCAGGCCACGAAGCCAGATGACTGCACTATCAGGATAAAGTCCTGGAAGTGAGGACATTCTAGACAGAGAGGGAAGCAGTTTTCCCTGGGAATTTGTAACCACAGCCAATTAGGATTCATAAGCAAGCGAGTGACCTCCTAGAGGGACAAGAGCCTGTGCCAAGCACTCCTGACAGTTCAAGAGGAGCCCTGTGCCTGGAGGCAGGGTGGGGACAGAAGGAGCGCAGGTTTTGAGGCCACTCAGAAGGTTGGCTCTGCCTCTTACAGTTGTGTGATTTGAGCCTCAGTTATCTGTGAAATGGAGATGATGGTAATAATACCCACCTCATGAAGCGTTTAGGCGTTTCAGTGTATGTCAAGCGCTGAGCACCATTTCTGGCACATCTATGGCATGGGGCTTGGGAACACACCTTCCCTTTTTTTCAAGGATGGGACGAGGTAGTTGAGATTAGGGAGTGTGTCTGCCTGCCTGCCTGTCTGTCTGTCTACGTGCCACAGGCAAGCGCTGACAAAGTGGCGTTTATTCAGAAGAGGAGAGCTGGCACATGGGCTAGTGGGCCAGGGAGACTTTTAAGGACTGCAGTTTGGGATGAGCAGATCTGGGTTGGGAGATGATCTGAACAAGGGGCAGGATCCCTAAGCTGTGGGTCTCCTGGGTGGAGCACACTCCTGAAGGCCACCGTCAGTCTCCCACCTCAGCCTGTCCTGAACGTAGGGTTGTAGAAAACAATGGGATAAGATTATGGAGTGAAGAGGGGGGCTGGGCACCACTGGACTAAGCCAGGGGCTTGGGGTTCTGGTTTATAGGCAACTTGGAGGCAAGTGATGAAGTGATGTTTAAGGAAAAAACTATGAGCCTGGTTCAGGGAAAGGGGAGACTAGAAGGATGGGCAAGAAGACAGGTATTGCAAAAGTCCCAAGTGGGAGGTCTTGACTTCCACCTCAAGGAGGGACTGGTGCATAGACAGGTTGGTTCCTGAGAGGCATTGCTGGCCCCTCCCACATGCTGTTTCCTGTGCCTGGAACAATTTTCCTCTGGTGATTCCCTCAATCCCTTTTCCTTACCTGCCCCTTTAGATGTCCCATAACCCTTCCCTGGCCCTTCAAGTCTGAATCACGTGCCCCTGTTAATTGCCCACCCGTCAAGCTGCCTCATCCTTCCAGCTCCATGGATTACAGCTGCCTCTGACTCTCCTCTCCTCCAGCCTGCAGGTTCCATGAGGGGGTGGATGGCATTATCATGCCGGCCACTGTCACTCCATCGATTCTCATGGGACAGCTGACATATATGTATATTTTTAATGGACATATATGTATATTTTTAAGGGAAAAAACCTAATGGATTCGCTTTAAAAAATGACAACATTCTTCTGGTATTTCCTGAAAAACAGAATCTAGAAGTAGACTAACTCTTAGAATTACATGAAGCCTTTCTAGAGAGTCCTCTCTGCCTTCCCCACGTCATTCCGACTTAGCCGTCACATGGTGGTGTGATGTCATTCCAGTATATTCTCTCCTGCAGAGTTACTGAATCCGGATTTAAAGAAGACGATTGAGTGTGTCAAGAAAATCGTAAAAGGAAAACAAGGAATGGGGGCGTGGTAAGTGGCAGATCTTTACATGTCCCTATTAATGACTCTCATGCGTTACCTTTCATCTTGAGCCCAACCAAGTCTTGGCTATTGCTCATCCCACCTCAAAGGCCGCAGAAGGAAGGAAAATAATTTTCTGACAAATTGCCTCAAGATTTTCCCCAAATCTCGTTCAGGATTATATAGGATGCCAGGATGAACATACTTAAAATAACTCTCTCTTTTTTTTTTCCATATTTTTTTATTTGTTTTAATTAGTTACACATGTCAGTACAATGATCTTGACATATCAATACATTTGAATCAGATGGGGTATAATTTCTCATTTTTCTTTAAAATAATTCTCTGTGTATATATATCCCTGATTATTTTTTTCTTATAAATTCTTACAAGATTTTTGAATACTTTTGAGGTGCTTTTTAAAAATTTTTAAGATTTTTTTTGTTCTTTTTAGTTACACATGACGTAAGAATGTATTTTGACATATCATACATACATGGAATATAACTTCCCCTTCTTGTGGTTGTACATGATGTAGAGTTTCACTGGTCATGTATTCATATATGAACATAGAAAGTAATGTTTGATTCATTCTACTGTCTTTCTCAATCCCATTTCTCTTCTCTTCTCTCCAATTCCCCCTGTCCAATCTGGTGAACCTCCACTTCTCCCTACTCCCAGCCTATTTTGAGTCAGCATCCACATATAAGAGAGGACATTTGGCATTGGCTTATCTCACTTAACATGATAGTCTCCAGTTACATCCATTTGCTGGCAAATGTCATAATTTCATTCTTCTTTATTGCTAAATAATATTCCATTGTGTGTATGTACCACATTTTCTTTATCCATTCATCTGTTGAAGGGCTCCTAGGTTGGTTCCATAGCTTAGCTATTGTAAATTGAGCTGCTATAAACATTGATGGGGCCAGGTCACTGTAGTATGCTGATTTTAAGTGCTTTGATTATATGAGGAGGGGTGGGATAACTGGGTCAAATGTGGTTCCATTCCAAGCTTACTTTTTTTGAGGTTCCTGATGTGTATTGTAAAATGCCTCTCTAGCAAGCTTGTACCAATTTGCATATCTGTAAAGAGTTTAGCAAGTGCCTCTTTACTGATCACAAAACCTTTGCCATTTGAAAGATGAATAATAATCATTCTTCTTCTTTTTTTTTTTTGGCTATATATGATTGATACCCCATTAGGTATTTCCTCCTGTGTTTTTTTTACAGTGATATTCTTTTGTGATTTTTTACCCTGTCCCTGTCCTTTGCCCTTTTTTTTAAAGCTCAAGTCATCAATATTGATTTGAAAGAGCTCTTTACAGTTCAGCATATTAACTAACTGTTGTATATTTGTTGCCAAAAATAACTGCAGCTCTTAATTTCCCCTTTTGCCAGGTATTTACACAGGATAGTCTTCTAAAATGTTCATGGTTGGGCCTGTGTCTGAATTCTCTTACTCAACATTATATTTGTTCATATTGTCACAGGTATTTCTTGGTCATAACGATATTCTCCTTTTTTTTCCCTAAGAATTTTACTGCTTTCCCTTTCATACTTGACTCTACAACACCTTTTTTTCTTTTTCTTGACTTATTGCTTTTGCTGGGATCTCCAGAAAATGCTAAAATAGATGTGAGGATAGTGACATCTTGTCTTGTTCCCAATCTTACAGGGAAGAAATTCATATTTTGTCATTTATTACATGTGATGCTTTAAGTTTTCTGAGCTATTCTTAGTTAAATTGAGAATGTTCCTTTCCATTTCTATGTAGTTACATGATTTTTTTTGCTACAAATACATGTCTAATTTGGGTTACTCCACTTTTAGTTTCTTGGCAATTCTGTGTTAACTTATCCATCTTCTTTTTAAAATTCAAACTGCTGTCTTTCTTTCTAAAAGTATCTCTTTAGTTTTTTCCAGAGGTCATGTCTGGATATATCTTACGGAGGAGTTCAGTTTTATGAAATTTACTTGTGGATCCTGCGGTATGTTGTTTTCGGAAGAAAGTTCCTCCAAATTTCTTCTTATTTGCTCTTTTCTGTGTCCTGTAAATTAGGGACATCTCTGTGTGAACGATTGTTTTCAGGTTTGTTATTTGTATTTTGACTTTGTTTATAGTATTTTCACTTACACGAGTTTTATAATTTCACAAACTTAAATCCCTCAATCTTTTCTTTTGCAGCTTCTGGGTTTATATGACATTTCCTTCTTAGAAAAGTTTTTCATACTCTTAAGATTATAGAGAAATTGAGCCATATTTCCCTCTATGTTAGAACAATGCTAGACAAAACAAGCCCTATATTGAATTGTTTTTAAATAAATTAAAAATATAATTTTAACAATTTTTTGTTTTTATGCTTAAAATCTGGGCCCCCTTGAAATTTATTTGGGTATAAAAAAGGCCGGGATCCAGCTTTATATTTTTTTAAATGATCAGTCATTGGTCTCAACACCATTTATTCGTTAATCCATTTATACCCACTAACTGAATAGATTGCCTATTAAAGTGGATGTCCCCTCATTAAAGTTAACTGTTCCCTGAATGCTTGAAACACCTTTCATACATGGTCTTGACTTTCCAATTAATTGGTAAATGTGGCTGACCTTCTGGGGTAAGCGCTAACAAGCTAAAGTCATCTTTGTTGTATGTCCGGTCCTTACTTGCTCGGGCTCCAGGTGAAGTGACCTCTCATCAAGCTAATAGGCAGCCATGGTTTTCCCAAAGCTCAGATGGGGGCCACTCTTCAAGGTCAGGGCAGACAGGGGGCAAGTGGATCAAGAGCTGGGTGTCCCAGGAGTCCCTTCGGCATTGTCTAGCCGATGGGACCCTCTACCCTGGAAGACCCCTGGAGGCCTGTCTGGCTGAGTTAGCTGCAGCTAAGCTGGTACCTCCCTAGCCTGTAGATGGGTGCTAGCACTGGGTGGAGAATGAGGCAATAACTCTTGGGGGCACTAGGAAAAAAAAAAGATTGGAGAAACTCAGCTCCTTTGTCCTAGGAGGATTGGGGATTTGAAAGGTATTTAAGGAGTGAAGTAGGTGCACGGAAAGGTGAAAGGGGGCCTGGCCCAAGGACAAGTGTTCTGGACACACCATGTGACCAGTCAGAACTTCTCTAAAGCTCATTTCAGAGAAGCTAATCCTTACCTTGAAGGATTGAGGAGAACTTTGTGGTTCACGGTTCAAGCCCCTCTAAACCATCAGGGGCTTAAGTTGCAAGGTGAGAGTGGTATGGACCTGGGACAGGGGAAGCACCAGCCTTCATGTCAGGGTATGGTGTCTCAGGGGCCAGGCAAGCAGTATGAATGGACTGGGCTGGGGTGGGAATCCTGGGATCCTGAGCGCTCACTTTAAGGAGTCCTCCCTCCTGATCACTCTCCCTGACCTTCCTTTCTGTAGGCTCAACTGGACCCGGAACTGCCAGTTTTCTGACACTCTGTCGCGGTGGCTGGATGGGTGCAGGCTGTAGCTCAGAGGTTCTGCAACACTCAGAAGCTGCATCTTGTGACAGAAGAGGCTTCTCTCTTTGCCGCTTCACTTAATCCTGATATTATCTCACCACTTGACAGCTCTGGATGGACGGGGGAAAGTTTGCTTTATTCAGGGATGTGGGATACAGAATAAACCAAGTTTGTTACTCATCTTGGGCCCAAGGTCTCCAGTTGTGTATCATGATGCTTAGTGTGATCACCATGATTTGCCCTTTTCGTGATTTATTATTTAATCTCGGATGGAGGACTTGGAGGAAGGAAACTCTCTGGGAGACCAGATGTGTCCACAAATGCCAATATTAAATAGAGAAAAGAAGAATAGACACAGTGGAGAAAAAAGGAATCAGAGAAGAGAGGAAGAGAGGCTGGGGCAGGCAGGGCCTCCCATCCCATCCCTGGGACACACAGGTACCGGGAGGAGACCACGAAATCCTCTTTGTTCTTCTACGGAGAAAATCAAGAGACAGTTGCTTTCTTCCTCTAAAATTAAATTTCCAATAATTGTAAATAACACTCGTATTGGATGATTTTTTTAACTTATAGAAACATTAAAAAAGAGAAAAGTTCTCCTATGATTTCGATACCTCAAATAATCACTCTCATAATTTGTTTTCATTGGTTTCTGATCTTTTTTTCTGTATAAGGTTTTTATACTTTCTGAACAATGAGAGGTTTGTTTTTTCACTTTTTTTTTGGTACCAGGGATTGAACCCACGGGCGCACTTACCCATTGAGCCACATCTCCACCCCTTTTTATTATTTTTATTTTGAGTAAGGTCTCGCTAAGTTGCTTAGGACCTCGCTAAGTTGCTGAGACCAGCCTTGAATTTGCAATCCTCCTGCCTCAGCTTTCAGAGCTGTTGGGATTACAGGCCTGCGCCACCACCCTGGCTTCTGTTCCTCCCTTTTTAGAAGGAAAACAAATATGATAACAAGCCTTCCTCCTCTGTGTCTTTTAATTTTAAGCAGAAAGAGGTCTATTTCAGAAGCCCAGGATGGAGCAGCATGTACCAGCTTGGGCTTTCTGGATATACCTACTAAGACCTGGTAGTAACTGCAGCAGCAGCCACAGAGACAACTGCTTATCAGAACCAGGTCACCCATGGGACCCAAGCCATGATGGGCTATGGAAAACATAATCCTTAATCGTTCAGTCCTTGGACAGGAAGGAAAGTACTGGAACGGTGTTGAGAGGGTCTGTCTGCATCATCTGCCTCCTCATGTTGTCACAGAGTCTTTAAAATGAAAATGTAGTGACAGTTACTATTCCGTTCTATGAATATACCATATTTCATTTGACTTTCTCCCTGCGTTAGATTTTTAGGTGTTGCCTTTTAAAAAATCATTACAAAGAGCACCATGGTGTCTGTCTGGTGCTGCCATTTTATTATTCTTATTTTTTCTTTTCTTACATTTTAAAAATCATACCAACAATGAAGAGAACTTGGAGAGCTAACTCGAAAGTCATAAATAAGGGAATTGAAAATACCATCACCCCCTACTGGAAACAGGAGTTTTTGCCTCATTTTTTGGTAGTCAAAAAAAAAAAAAAAAAAAACCCAACTTAGAGATGGGTAGAGTTAAACTGTATGTGCGCGCACACGCATGCGATTTTTCCCCTTATAAAAATGGACTACTGCTAACTAGTTTTATATCTTGCTTTTTTTTTTCTTTTTGCTTAATAATATATTATGGTCTAATCTTTCCATGATGACACCAGGAATCCCAGCACCGTTAATGACCACCCACTATCCCATTATACGGACAAATTATAATGTAAGTAACCATTTATTGTTCCTCTTTTCAAGCTGGAGATAAACTAAGTTAGGGAATCTTACAGGTAGGCAGGGCCTAAAGCAAGTCTGCGCTTCTCTCTGGTTGCATTTTGGTCACTTTGAGAAAGGAGAAGAAATGGTTCCAAGTTACAATTTCAGGGGCAGAACTTTTATTCAAGTTCAGGATTGCTCCATCAGCTTGATCCAGTTCTGTTAGGTGGCTTTCTGTCCTCTCTAGAGGACAGGGTATGACATATTTCCCCCCCACATGACATAAGTCATGCAGTAAAATTCCTGCTGAAGGCAGCGCTTACTATGGGGGTCAGTGAGAAGCCTTTGAGATCTCGAGAGTGATTTTTTTTTTTTTTTTACATTTTTGTTGAGTTCAGAATCTGCAGTGTTTCTGAGGGAGGTCTCAGGAGTGATAAGGTGCCTGATCTCAACCCAACTTTAACCCAGACGTGAATGACAACCTGTGACTGATTAAAACGCTATCTTCTCAAGAGCCAAATCCAACATGCTGCCGCCTCCTTCCAGCCCATTACTTCTGCTGCTGCTCATTGTCCCCTAATGGCCACTTGTGTCAACATGGGCGTGAGGCTCGAGGAGAAAACAAATGTTAATGTATTGATTGGAACCACCTCACTGAGTTTTCCCAAGGGCAGCTCCTGGCAGGGGGCTGTCCTCTCAAGCCCACTGGTGCTGGCCATGATGGTGAGGACTCAGAATCATATCTCCTCATCTGGTTTATAGCATGGCTAAAGCTAGATTAGGAAGTCCCAATAACAATGACTCCTGCTAATTTTATTTGTATTACCAGAAGCTACCGTATTTTAATTTTACAAATATCACCCAGAAACCTTTACATACAATATTTCCAAATTTTGCAACAACCTCACAAGATCGATATGAATTATAAATATATATATAGATGGGCAAATGGAGCTACATAACTTGGCTTCACTCCATGCTGCTAAGTGATGGAGATGGGATGGGTGTCTCCTTAGAACCTGTAACCTTATTTATAGTCCCCTTCAAATGCAAGGAGGTGTGTTGATGTTAACTCTCATTCCATCCATTAGCTAGAAAATTGAGTTTCCAGTTGTTTTTTTTTTTTTAATTAAGATGTCACACTATAGAGATATTGGGCAACTAGCACAGGGCAATGGGTCATTGTCATGGTGTTCAGTCCCAAGACTGGGAAATGGAGGGAACTTTCTCAACAGTACAAAGTCAGTCAATAGGGAGGGCAGTGTGGTGATCTATAGCATCTCCAAATTTATGTCAGAATAAAAATCAGCTCATTAAAAAGCTCATTCCTGGGTCATGCCTGGACCAGCCAAATTGTGTTTGCAGGAGTGGGGCTCAGGAGCATGCATTTTCACCAAGTATCTCCAGACAAATCTGTCTCTGGGAGTCTGAGCACGGGGTTGAGGAGAGTCAAAAGCCACAGGGCTCATTCCTGGCTCTGCCACTTACTGTTGAACCACTTTACTCTCTGAGCTCAGTTTTCCTAGCTGTGAATGACCCAGGCGGGTGGTGGTATTGAGAGAGTGGCAGTCAGGTGATGGGGGTCTTCCAACACCTGAGCCCTTTCCTACTTCTCAGACCTGTGTTAAATTTGTATGGAAATCCACTGCTACAGATCTGCCATCAGGAGGGGAGGGCCTGTGTGTGTGTGTGTGTGTGTGTGTGTGTGTGTGTGTGGTGTGAATGCACACCCATTACTATCTTGTACTATTATCCTGAGAGTATTCTGGCCAGGTCTGTTACTGGAGTATGGAGACTATAACTGTCTCACCTTCAGAACACTGTTTCAGAATCCCCCCTTAAATAGAGGGTGTTTTTTTCTTTTAATCTCAAATCCTACATACTTCAGGGGCTGGAGATGAACCACATAACCTCCTTCTCATTGCTGCTTTCTCCTTGCTCCAGAAAGTTCTCTGGCTTCTTTGAAGCAAGTGTTCCCCCTCCATTCTCTGTCCCTGCCCCTCATTTGTGGAAGATTTTGGCTCCTGACTCATGGTTTTTCCAGCCCTATTGGGGTCATCATTTTTGGTGCTACCAGCACCTTGGCATCTCAGTCCCTCAGGGCCATCACCTGCAAAGATTTTTATCTTCTACCTCATTTCAACCCCCACTCCCAATGCCATACCTTGGCCTTGTTGTTATTAATAACTCCACCATCTTCAAAAATCTCAGGTGTAGGTGCCCCCTCTTTGCGCATCCTTCCATTCCGTGAACGATTGGCTAACTCCCCTTCTTTGACTCTGCTGTGGTCTCTAAAATGTGACGCTAGCAACCTCACTGTCCTTCACGTCCCTCACCACCTCACTTTTCTTCTGGCTCAAATTCCAAACTGCTATGATAATGTCATGTGTGCACCCCACCCTGGTCCCTTCTCCTCTCTCTGACCTATTCACCTGACCACTCAATCCCAGTTAAGCCCAATTCTCTACCTACTCTGATTTGTACCCCAGTAGCTGTACATATCTGGAGAAGAAGAAGAAGAAGAGAAAAAAAATAAAAACAAAAAACAAAACAACAACCCCACAAAACCATGTGGAATGGTGTCACTTTAAATTTTAACAACCATCATCAAATGGACCTTTACATTTCCAATCTCTTAGATAAGCATTTCACACTTTTTCTCCTCTCTCTTTAAATCTCTAACACCTCCTCCCTCATCCACCCTCTTCACTGATGAGATTGCTTCCTATGTCACTGAGGAAACAGAAGTCATCAGATAAGACCATCTGCAGGCTCCTGTAAACACCTCTGCTCACCCACATACTCTGCCTACCTACCCCATCATCTTTATGGATGAACTGGGTTTAAATTTCTTTCTTATTTTTTTTTAGTTGTAGGTGGACATAATACCTTTATTTTATTTATTTTTATGCGATCCTGAGGATCGAACCCAGTGCCTCACACATGCTAGGCAAGTGCTCTGCCACTGAGTCTCAACCCCAGCCCAATGGATGAACTGTTGATGCCCCGAATAAAAGGGCTCTCCTTTCTCACCCTGGCCCCGTCCCCCTTGCCTATTCTCAGACTTGTCAAGAGACAAGTCACATGGGGTCACTTTCCCCTCCTGCTTGATTGATAACATTATCTAAAACATATTGTAATATCTCTCAACTTAAAAGCCTCTCTCTTGGCCTCAGATTTCTTGCCATGTCCTCAAAGGACTCCTCAAAAGA